AGCTAGGCAAGACGTCGCTGTCCCGGGTTCGCGCAGACGGCAACAAGGCGGTCGGATGGATGCTGGGCGCGTGCGTGCTTGCGTGTGGTGTGGTGTGCCTCAGGCCTGCCATTGAATGGCGTGAAGAATGAGATGGGAGGGTGGATGAGAGGAGGAGTGGGCGCTTTGAGTCGCCGCATAAGTTATGCTCACAATGCTTTGGAGATGTAAAAACATGAAATGTAAAAATTTACATCTTCAAAAAATGCGTTTTACATCTTCAAAAAGAGGCAACTTCAACAGATGATATATATTGGTGATGTAAAAATGCAACTCCAATAGATGATGCAAATGTAGATGTAAAACCAGTCGGCATGAGAGCCGGCGGGCGAGCGCCGAGAGCTGGGATGAGCACCGGCGGACCGAGCAGCGGCAGGAGGTGTGCCGACAGCCGAGCGACGAGAGCCGGTAGGTCAAATGCGGAGGCGGGAGCTCGAATGATCGGCGGCGTGGTTGTAAATCGAGCGGCGAATTGGTCGCGGCGGGACGACGGCTGTGTGATACGAGAAGGTCGAGTCTGGTGGCGGAAAAGCGGTAGCGGCAGGTGCGCGGCTCGAATCCAGCAGCGGCGGGGCGTCTGGGGGAGTTCAAATCATACAGCGGCGGAGAAGCGGCCAACTTGAGCGATTTGGAGCGGCGGCGAAGCAGCGACGGAAGCGGCGGTGGGGGCGGTGGAACGGCAGCCGCGACGGCAACCGGCCAGGGTGAGGCAAAACAGGTGCGATGGCATGGCGGCGGCGGGATTGGGGTTGGTGGTCGCGCCGGCGAAGGCCCCCACGTGTAGGCGGCTGCGATGGAGAAGGCGACAGGGTCGTCGGAGTCGACCATGGCCCGGGCGGCAGTCGGCAGAAGAAAGGAAAATAAAAACGGTCGGGTTACATCTTCTGTAGGTGGAGACGTATATTTACATCTCGAAGTGTTGTATTTTACATGAGCAGTTTTAATATGGTCCTTCTTATTTTCTCATTTTACATGAAAAGTAAGAGTACATAATAGATTTAAATGGATCAATCTATTGGAGACGCTCTTACGTTGGTTACCAGCAGAGCAGAGTGGATCCACAGTATTTACTTCCGTATTGCAAAAAAGGGAAGCTCGAGGCCATTGACCGGCACCGTCCTTGCCTCATTCACGGTTGATGAGTATAGATAGATTGCCTGCACTTTGCGACCGGACGGTACCAACATGTCAGGTACAGTTAAGTGAAGCTCCTCAGGTAGCTGATGACAGCTTTCGGGTTGCTTCCTGCTGTGATCTAGGCAGGCAGATGGATCCTCGCAGGCGCAATCAAATCAATCGCACCCACAGTTGCCCATTTGGTGGGCAGGTTAATTTTGGGACTGACTTTTCTTTCTAAGTGCAGCATCACTCCCAAACACATTATAGTTCCACCATGTCATTTACAAGAGTCGGGAAAGAGGCCGTAAAAACAGATGCATATCCTTGCACGCATGGCAGTAGTGATGGAGCTTAGGTTGTGTGTCTAGCATCTCGAGCCGCGGCTCGATTGCAAGACAGGGTCATCACTTTCGTGGACTCTTGTGTCATGACCGCACACGTATGCAGCTGCCGGGATTGTAGAAAGTAGATGCGGCAACACTAGACGACCTTGATCTGGTGGTGCTTCTCGCGTATCCGACTCAAATTTTGCGTAAAAACTCTAGGTCTGATCCTAGTTCGTCATACCTGGCACTGGCAGCTACCCGGTTTCAGGTTTTGCTTGGAGTTTGTTTGGAATCGATTTTTGGGGTAAAAACCCAAGATATGGCCGTTAGTGATTGGATCCGGCGAAGTTGGTGAGCGTGTATCGTTCCCTTTCTAAAGGCATTGCTTTTGAAAAATCTTTCTCTTAGTCATTGTGTGGTCAAGATATGTTCCATGCAGATGGTCATTGCTGCATTCAATTGTTGTTTCTATCACTTTGGTTTTTCTTTTCATTTCCCCTGCCTAGGCATAGCTTCAATATTGTATGACTTAGCCCTTTATATGGTGTGATCCTTCGTATGTCTGCGCTGATGTTGGCTTTGTGTATCTTAGTTATATGGAAGCTGGGTGTATACTCATTATGCTTGAATTTCATTGATACCACATTACAGTAGATTACATTTTTGTGCCCTGGAACTAAAAAACTGCTCGCCCCGAGCCTCCCGGGTCGCTCCTGGGGCGATTCCAGAGGTGCCTCCAGCCGCCACCAAGAAAGCAGATTACCACCGCCAAAACCCTCGGCACCCCCGGAGGAGGTCGTCCAACGCCGGACGGCATCGGCGGGCGCTCTCCCGTTTCTTCCCCCCTCCCCAAACAACCTTCAGATCCGGTGGCAAGTCCCACCTCGTGGTGGCCTTAGCGGCGTCAGCGGTGGCGGACACACTCGGATTGGTGTTGCCCGCCGTGAGAGGCCGACTTAATCCTGACGCCCATCCTCACGGTCATCTGCACGCCAGGGTTGGGCTGGGAGATTGGTCCCTCTCGCGCTGGCGGCTGGCGGCATCCGATTATATCTGGA